TGACGCATTTCTGTCGTCATACCTGAGTGGAAATAACCTAGACTAAGTGGAAATAACATAATTATGTTATTTCCACTAATCGCGACATTTTCAATAGGATTTGTGCTCTGGCTACCACTGTATACAGTGAAATGGAATTGTACAATGTAAGCCTAAATAGTTTATTCAAAATTCAATCAATATTTGACTAAACTTATTAGTTGCATGTTTAGAGCATTTTTTCAACACTGCTCAAATTTTTCAGGTTCATCTTTGAGTAAAATGTTCACAATATTAAGCATATTTACATATTTTAAATTTGCCATTACTTTATTCAGTATATTTATTTATTTTACTTTTTATTTAGTGTTAAAAAATTTATTCGAATTACTTTTCTTTAAATAAAATTAGAAACAAATATATACAATATTATAATATATTAAATCATTTTTTAGATTAAAAATTTTAATTAGTTTATAAAAAATTTTTAAACCATAAATAATTTTTTAAATTGCCGTATCTTGATTTTAACAAAGAAAATTTCTAAGCCTACACTAGTGTACTGTATAAACACGGGTATTAATTAATTGATTTGCAAATCCCGCGCAACATCATAAAAAAAAAACCACTTAATATTAGGGTTAGGGTTAGAGAGTATTTTATGCTAAAATTTTGCGTAGATTATTTTTTGTTAGAACCCCAAAGTAGTTTTATAAGCAAACTTTCAAGTAATAACAATACCCTGTGTGTACACACTAGTGTACAAATAATAATTCTCTTTAATAAATCTTTAGAATAAATTTAAGGGGAATTTACAAATAAGGAAGTGAAAATAATTACAAATACGGGCCCAAATTAAAAATAATTACATATAAAGGTCTAATTTTTAAAACATATTACATATAAGGCCAAAATCTATTGATGGCGGATCACAGGCTAGCAAAATCGCGATTATGGAATTATCGTAGACATTTAGAGTTATCTATATATTGATTATTAGACAAAAGGATAAATGAAGTGCTAGTTACAATATAATCGTTTTGCAACAGAGTAGCTCTCTAAAGCTGACCGAACATCTTCCATATTAGTAAATGGCATGCCAATTCGCTATGTTTTACTTGACATTATAGTAGTTTGTTATAAGCAATTTCATACATAGAAAATTAAATTTATTAAATTTAAAAGACTTTTACTAAAACGCACCTATGGTGTTTACACTTATGTATATATTATTTCAAAAACTGGCTAATCAGTCAGTGCAAGATGTCCTAAGTAAAAACGCTCTACGCCCCTAAAAAACCTTCCCTAACCCTAGCTCTAAATACTAACACTAATATGAAAATTGTGTTGAAAATTTTTATATTCGAAACTTAGAAAATCTAATAAAGAATATGATAGGTGCAAAACCACCATAGATGCATTTTATAATAAATGAATTTAAAAAATTTTCTTTTCTCATTTATAATTACTAATCTACAATCCATCATTACATTTTTTATGCGACGTTTTTTATACTAATAACAATCAAACTACAGGCGTAAAAGCATCATAGTTATTTTGGGCCTTTATGTGCAATTTTTTTTAAAATTAGTTCCTTATATGTGATTATTTTTAATTTGGGCCCGCATTTGTAATTATTTTCACTTCCTTATTTGTAAATTCCCCTAAATTTAATGCTAAATAATTGAAATTTTCTTGAAAGTTTTTTTAGCAAAATATTTGTACATTATAAAAGAAGCTTCATTTTTATTTGCTTCTTCAACATAGTCATTCAATAAGTCATTAAATTTCTCATTAGATATCCCCATGTATTTTGGAAGAAAAACCACACCTTGAAGCATTCGTTTAAAGTTTTCTACTGCCTATATAAAAAATGTCTATCAATATACCAAAAAGAATTTTAATATTCTAGTCAGGTTAAACCTATTTTACTTACATATTCACCAAAACATCCATACCATTCACCTAGTGGATAATCTAGCGACAAACATCTCAGATCTTCGAGTACGTCCATTTCCTTACTATATTTTGGTATTTTTTCATAAATATTGATATTAACACCCCGTATATCTCGACAAGCATTCGAAACTAAAAAAAAAGTTTACAATCGCTATTTTTTTAATAAATCTTAATAACCTACTATCTGCTAATGTTAAATACTTACAACACTCCAACAGCCATGTTAAGTTCTCTCCACAATTTTTACTCATCGGATCCGGTTCAGTAAATTCAATCCAACCATCATGCTTTAAAACTCTAACAAGCTCTTTGATTACTATAATCCATTGTTCCTCAGTAAATGCGCTCCACATCAAGCTTATATTAACAAAATCAAAAGTGCTTGGAGGAAATGGAATACCATGAATCGCATTGCATGCAAGGTAACAAACATTTGATGGGCATTCTTCACTTGATGGAAAATTAGAAGAATTAATATCAATGGCTATAATTAAAGAAGATGGGTATTTTAATCCCATATCTATCGTCCAAAGACCGGGGCCACACCTTATGATAGAAAAAATTACTTTTATTATAGTATAAAATTTTAACATAAAAGCAAGACCTATTAAACAGCTGATTACAATAAATTACCCAACATCAAGTATAGCAGTACCACTCGTATTCAACTTGTCTTTGATTGGCGAACAAAAATTTCCTTCTCATAGATGCCTCATTAATAAATAAGACAGTGTCGACCTTTCAAGTTCTATTTTGTCTGACGGAAGTACACATTTTGAATCATCATCATTCAAAAATCGTCTTCCGTTATAAGTTTTATGCGAGTCTAGTAGCAGAGAGGTTACTTCATTTATATCCTTTGTTTCAAAATTAGAATCATTAAAGTATTCTAAATTGTGTTTTCGAACTTTATTTATCGGCACATTAGTAAGAGGGTCTTTGGATTTTTTTGACATTATTTACATCATTTGTTACGATAATAACGTTATGTACGCATGTAATGAATTTACTATGTAATGAATGTATATATATATAAAAATTGAAAAAATACGGATTGAGGAAAGTCTCGCTTTTCAGGGAATCTTTCACACGTAACGGTTTTCCGAAAATAAAACAATAAACATTCGTTATATAGAATTTTAAATTAAAAAAATTGGTTAAGCGTTAGATCGTACATACGTACGTCGTGCTACAATGTGGTACATATCGATGAAATTGGTAATAAGTATTAGGTACGCACGCACGTACGAACGTATATCATTTTCGCTTGTAGGAGTATTACATGACTTCATTTGTTGTAATTGTGTATCTAAGGGCGTTCTCAAGCACCTACCTCAATGGACTCAATAACGAATTGGTCTGTTTGATCAAACTAGCCAACCAGATGTTTTATTGAATTCATTGGGGTAGGTGCTTGAGAACGCCCTAAATCGGGTAATATAGTGCGGAACAGCGAAAGGGACAGCAAAAGACATGGAGTGGTTGGTGCTTACATGATCAATTTTGATTGGCTAATTTGATATAAATGATTCTGATCGGTTAATTAAATTTATCCGACAACTTTTTTATTTTTTTCGTGTTACAAAGTAATTATGTTTCAAATTAAAACTCAGCGAACGACTCCCTAAATTGTCGGATAACACCATTATTGGGCAAATTTGCCAAATTACCCAATAATGTATACATATATCTCTTTTTTTATATTTAACTTCATTTTTTAAACTATTATAAACTTTGACTTATAACTTCTTTAAAACAAAAAATAGAAAAAATCCTCTGACAAAATGTAGCTTAGCTAAATCTATCATTTTGTCAGAGGATTCTTTGATTTAACTTGTTTTAAAGATTTAAAGTTTTCATTAATAAAGAATGGATGTGTTTTACTGTCCCACACTGTATAAATATATTTATAGAAACATTTAATTTATGTGCATTAATGTGCGTTAAGCTTTATAAATTTATGTAAATATTTAACATTGTTCAAACTATGATAAAATAACTTAGCAAAACTTAAGTACACACATAATCATTGTATCATTGTGTGTTATTAAATATATTACAATTAAATAAATATCCAAAATATATTTTCTGATATTAATGTTATATATCATTTATTGATAATAAGGAATAAAAGTGAAGAATAAATGGAATAGAAGGTTGAATTACTCTAATTATTCTACTTTCTTTAATGTCCAACTATCATTAGATCGAATCTTTAATAGAACACACATCCAGCATAACTTATGCAGTGCCACATTTATTGCTCCCAATTCTGGGCACTACAGCAGTCCCTCCAAAGCTCATGTCGATCATTGCCATAGCATCTCGATTTTCATTGGTCACACAAAAAATGCACAGCAAATCCTCAATTTGGATTGGCTAAGAACGATGATCAAAAAATTAGGCTAGAATTACTCATAATTTTACTAATGAAATCACAGCCGCCCATTAAATGAAAATTGTTCCTGGGTTAATTTTACCATAGTGTGGTTTATTTTTTAAAATTTTTATTTTTGTATTGAAAAAATTAAAATTTCCAGATGGTGTGATATGCCTTTTTCTGTTAATGGTTTTTTTAAAAATCAGAATTTAGATGCGAGCTTATAAACCATAGCCAAAGTAAACTATTAATATAACAAAAATTTTAGTTAAAAAATCAGATCAGATCGGAATCTCTGGCATTTTACAATAAGATTTGTTCCCTGATACTGCTAATAAAGGCAAAAAGAATCTGTGCCCAGTTTATGATCATGTGATAAAAATCACATGAAATTCAAACTCATACAGGAAGATCCCCCAAATTCCTGGTCGGCAGGGCCGGAAATGATCAATTTTGCCCAAAATCACCAAGAATTTTACTAATAAAATCGTGGCTATTTATTAAGTGAAAAGTGTCCAGCTAATAATTTTGCTATAGAATCTACTAACCACTAGGGCTAAATGCCAATCTAAATCTGACTAGAAATTTTGGGGATTGCTTTGTAAAAATCCAAAATTCAATGAAATTATGCATATTCATGCATGTGATGCATATAAAATTACTATTTTGGTAAATCATTTTTACAACAAAGTAAAGCATATTGGCAAATTTGCGGAATTGACTTATATTAAGGTCCATATATTTTAACAATGCAATTATAAAACTGACCCCAAAATTTCAGCTATTATGCATTCTGCAATTGTTAAATTCAGGGACTTTAATTTAAATCCATTCTGCAAATCCACCGATATAGAATAAATATTTTTAAAAATTTGAGCAAATGTTTCTTTATAACTACCTAGTAAAATCCAATGAATTTTTTTTTTTGAATTCTACCGATTCGTAAAATTCTAATAAAAAAATTTACCAAATATTATTAGGTAACTATTAAGATACCTTCGTACAAAGTTTGGAAAAATCAAATATTTATCAAAATAAGAGCTATGATGAATTTTTCTAATATTTTTAATGAAGATATCTCAATAACTTTCTGATAAAATTTGATAATTTTTTTATCGGAATTCTTTGAATTTTTAAAATTCAAATAAAAAAATTTTCATCAAATTTTATCAGGTGGTCATTGAGATATATTCACTCAATGTTTTAGAAAAATCAAACCCATCTATCAAAATAAAAGCTATGCTGAATTTTTCTAAAACTTTGAGCGAAGATATCTTGATAACCACTACCTAATAAAATTCAATAAGTTTTTTTTTATTTTAATTCTACATATGCTTGGAATTTAAATAAAAAAAAAATTCATTGAATTCTATTAGGTAGTTATTGAGATATTTTTACTCAAAGTTTTAGAAAAATCAAAAATATCTATCAAAATAAAAGCTGTGTTGAATTTTTCTAAAATTTGAGTGAAGATATCTTGACGACCACTTGATAAAATTTGATGAAAACTTTTTTATTTGAATTTTACAGAATATTAAAATTTAAATAAAAAAATTTCATCGAATATTATCATGTAGTTATCGAGATATCTTTGCTCAAAGTTTTAGAAAAATCAAAAACATCTATCAAAATAAAAGCTGCTCTGAATTTTCTAAAACTTTGAGCGAAGATACTTAATAACTACTTGATAAAATTCGATAAACTTTTTTTTTATTTTAATTCTACATATTCTTGGAATTCAAATAAAAAAAATTCATTGAATTCTATCAGGTAGTTATTGAGATATCTTTACTCAAAGTTTTAGGAAAATCAAAAATATCTATCAAAATAAAAGCTGCGTTGAATTTTTCTAAAATTTGAGTGAAGATATCTTGACGATCACTTGATAAAATTAGATGAAAACTTTTTTATTTGAATTTTACAGAATATTAAAATTCAAATAAAAAAAATTTCATCAAATTTTATCAAGTGGTCATCAAGATATCTTTGCTCAAAGTTTTAGAAAAATCAAAAACATCTATTAAAATAAAAGCTACTTTGAATTTTTCTAAAACTTTGAGCAAAAATATCTTGATAATCACCTGATAAAATTCGATGAACTTTTTTTTATTTTAATTCTACAGATGCTTGGAATTCAAATAAAAAAAATTTCATTGAATTCTATCAGGTAGTTATTGAGATATCTTCATTCAAATTTTAGAAAAATTCAGTTCAGCTTTTATTTTGATAGATGTTTTTAATTTTTCTAAAACTTTGAGCAAAGATATCTCGATAACCACTTGATAAAATTCGATGAAATTTTTTTATTTGAATTCTAATATTCTGTAAAATTTAAATAAAAAAGTTTTTATCAAATTTTATCAAGTGGTCGTCATAATATCTTCAGAAAAATTTGGCATAGCTTTTATTTTAATAGATATTTTTGATTTTTTTAAAACTTTGAGTGAAGATATCTTGATAACTACCTGATAGAATTTAATGAATTTTTTTTTTATTTGTATTTTAAGCATCTGTAGAGTTAAAATAAAAAAATTCATCAAATTTTATTAGGTAGTAGTTATCAAAAATCTTTACTTCAAGTTTTAGAAAAATTTAGCACAGCTTTTATTTTGATAGATAGTTTTGATTTTTCTAAAACTTTGAGCAAATATATCTTGATAACTACCTGATAAAATTTGATGAAAATTTTTTATTTGAATTTTAAAAATTTGTAAAATTCAGATAAAAAAAATTATCAAATTTTATCAGGAAGTTATTAAGATATCTTCGTTCAAAACATTAGAAAAATTTGGTGCAGCTCTTATTTTGATAGATATTTGATTTTTTTAAACTTTGTGCAAAGTTATCTTGATAGTTATCTGATAAAATTTGGTAATTTTTTTATTAGAATTTTGTGAATTAGAAGAATTCAAAAAAAAATTCATTGAATTTAACTAGGTAATTATAGAGAAACATTTGCTCAAATTTTTAAAAAATATTTATTTTTATTTTGCTGTAAAAATAATTTACTAAAATAGTAATTTTATATATATTACATGCATGAATATGCACAGTTTATTGAATTTCATGTAATTTTCATTATATGATTATAAATCAGGCACAGATTCTATTTTCATCTAATAAAGGGCATTTTCAAACATCTATCTTAATAGACTCAATAACAAATCTGATTGGTCTGTTTGATAAATCTAGTTAATTAGATTTTTATTGTATATCAGATATGTACTAATTTAAAAAATCAACCAATCATAATTAAGAATTATCAAACAATTTTATATAAATTGAATTTTTATAAAAATGGTCTTTTTAACTAATATTATGCTTCAAAATACATAAAAAATTGCAATATTTATATATTTTATTATAAGCCAAAAGTAAGTTAAAAAGGCTATTTTTTTGACCTGTGGGTCAATAGCATAGCAGTTATGCTTCCAGGTTGCAAATCGGAAGGTTGCCTATTCAATTCCTCCTAGCAGTGAAATAATGAAAACCCAAATATAGAAGTGAAACACCATGGGTACAGGAAACTCAGAACATCTACAGATGGACATATTCGGAAAATAGTTATTCCAAGAA